AATTTTTTTTTTTATTTTTATACCACTAAAATTTTATTAAATATGCTCAAAAAAAGTACTTTCTAAAAAGAATTACTTATGGTATTCAAAACTACATGCATTCATGTATCCAATATATTTATGCATCCAGAATTTTTATACCCCTATATTTTAAAATGTAATATTCCATGTTTAAATAAAAACTACTTGTACAGAATGGCCAGGTGAAAACGAGATCGAGATATTAACAAAAACTACATTATAATGTTTGAGGAACTCTGGGTATTATAAATTTGGTTTGTTCGTGTTCTTTAAAACAAAACCGTTTTAAAATTGCGCAGAACTAGTTGGTCAGTAGTACAAATTTAGATTTCTTTAGAACAGTTTTGAATTAAGAAATAAACAACGAACATCTTAATAATCAAATTAACTGACAATTTGCATTTATGATTTGTTAGAATTTTTTGTAGGGTAGGATAAATAAATTAAAATAATAGCTTGTATAAAAAAAGCTTTTCCTTTTATTTATTTATTTATTTATTTATTTATTTATTTATTTACGAGCAAGCCCATTTCAGTTACAAATTACAATTATAAAAATTAATTAAAATATCACAAATAGTTACGGTGCTGTTGCACAAAGACATCATACATGTCATGCAAACTAGAAACATTTAAAATAATAACATAGGTTAGTCGCAGGTTAAAATAGAGAAAACACACAGTAAAACATTAACATTAAAGCTCAGTATTACGTAATTGAGTTTTGAATGATGAAAATGGAATATTGAACAGCCTGAGATCATTGTGCAAGTTAGCTAATCTAAGCATTCTTGGAATGCAGCTGTTAAAAGCCTGGTTTGATCTATAAAAATGTACATAAAATGTTTGCAGTTGCCTAGTTAAACGAGTTTAAACAAGAAGATTTAGTTTTCAAGAAGTTCAGGACAATTACTTCTACTATTTATAATATTAAATAACAAACTAAGGTCTCTTTGTTTTCGCCTAGTTTTCAAGAAGGGGATATTCAGAAACTAATGCATGAAATCATATTCACATTAAACACCCAATTTAAAAGCTATATGTCTGAGAAAGTTGTGCTGAACACTTTCGATTTTCCTACTATATGTTATATAGTGTGGAGACCAAATAGAAGAGCAGTAGTCAAGGTGAGGTCTGACTAACGAACAATAGAGAACTCTTATTGCAGTTGTGTCAGTAAAATCACGGGTCAGCCTTTTGATAAAACCCAACATTTTCATAAATTTGTTGACAGCAGCATGTATGTGTTGATTGAAGCTTAAAATAGGATAGATAATAATTCCAAGGTCTTTAATTTGATAAACAGAGTCTAAGATATGACCATTTAAGTTATAGTTAAATGTAGTTGAAGGTAGGTGGGAACGATAAAAACGCATGATATGGCATTTATTGGCATTCAAGTCCATGCCATTTAAAGAACACCATTCTGATAAGTTATCGAGTTCAGACTGAATTCTACGGGCATCATCATGGGTTTTAACAATTTGGAAAAATTTTAAGTCATGTGCAAATAATAAAGCTTTGCTGTTGCGGAAACCATAAACTATATCATTAATGAATAAGTTAAATAGTAAGGGGCCTAGATGTGATCCCTGAGGAACACCTGAGGTTACTTGAAATAAGTTAGAATAGTGTCGATTTGCTCTAACCATTTGGGTTCTATTAGTTAGATAGCTGCCAATCCATTGCAGTAATACCCCACCCAGACCATATTTGTTGAGCTTTTGAAGTAGGAGAATATGGTTAACCCTGTCAAATGATTTAACGTTAGTCTTAATAGAGGTTTCAACAGAATTTATATAATTTGAATGGCATTCTCTGGATAAAAGCTTGCATTGTGCTCTTAACTGACTGAATATTTCATAATTATGGGTAGTCCTGTTATGTTTATAAATCCTGTGAACAACTTTTTTATCATTAACCAAGCTCCTAAGCTGCGAGGAATACCAATGTGGAAATTTTTTCGTAGAAACTTTCCCAATGGGAACAAATAACTCAATTACGGAAAACAGAGCGTCTGTAATATTAATAAAATTGGTATTTTGGATTACTTTTTTTAAGGCCTATCGCCGTTAGTATGTTCAAAACCTCTTTTTCGTATAATATAATATACCCACTAACCCTTCACCTAGTTGGTGGCCAAATAGAGTCGGATAGAGTCAGCCTTGGGTGTTTTCATCGATAAAGAAGGTGCTTTTAATAAGACAACCTTTCCCAAGATAATACACTCACTAAACAACAGGAACCTTCTACAGATGGTTAGTGGGTGGATACACAATATGCTCTCAAAGCGAGCAGTAAACATAAGTGTAGAAGGCTTGATTGTAAGAGGCTTGGTTGCGAGGGGGTGTCTACAGGTAGGAGTGCTATCACCATTACTGTGGAACATGGTCCGCGATACCCTCATCAGCCGCCTTAATAATGTCACTACACAATAGCGTCTGGCCATTCTGAAAACAGAGAATTTTGAGAACATACTCTGCTAAAGAATGCAAGTAGCTTTTAAAATTATAGAACAGTAGTGCAAGGACCACTCACTATCTATTAATACTATAAGACAAAAATTGTCCTTTTCACAAGGAAAATAATAAAAATGGAATTAAATAAACCTACAGAGCTCCTAAACACAAAACTAAACTTAGCTACAGAAGTGAAGTAGTCTCACTAAATGGAAATGAAATGTCTTTAACTCTACCAGAAATAAGAGAAGCTGCTAAAATTGAGTCATGGAATGTATTGTCAAAAAGAAAAAAAATTGTATGTGGCGGTGTATGAATCTCCCTTAAATTAGTTCAAGGAAAAAATATAAAATGGTATAAGTAATCTGTTATGTTGGTGTATTTTACAGAACTGTCAACAAAATATAAATCCTCAACACTAACGGACCCATTATTCAGTGCTTCGAAGTACTATCCAATATACATCAAGGAATAAATATAGGTATTTAACCAAAAAAGGCTAGTACTATCTGACGAAAATATTGAGTTTCTTACTAAAGCATCAGACACGACTTATACCTTGCAGCAAAGGTAGGCTATTGATTAAATTTTTTATATTACAATAATTAGATTTTTTAGTTGCATTTATAAAAGGAATAATTGGTGCTTATCGGGCTAATGGGATGTATTCCATGAAAATTTGATTTACAAGACCTTAGATCAACTTTTTTAGTAAGCATCAGACAACAAAAGTCTATTGATTAAGGTTTTTTCATGTATTAAAATTAGGTATTTATTTCTTAATGGTTAATGAGCTGTATTACATGAAAATTAGTGATTTACAAGACTTTGGATTCGCTTTTTTAGTTAATTTACCCGAAACCAGGACAAAAATAACTCGAACATTTATAACTTCCGATCATTTTTAAAAAATATGTAAATAATCCATCAGTAGTCGTCCAACACTACTATCAGAACGGTATATGCACTGCCCAATGAATTGGTATTAATAAATTTACCAAAATGATGAAAAATACTGCCGCTTTTTTTTTTAAACATTTTACATTTTTATACGTAGGTAGGCTTAAGGGACAATGAGTGCCAACATTTTTACATGGACAGGTCTAAGGGACAAAGAAAACAAATATTTTTCTACAAGCAGACTAAAGGGAGAAAGAAATCATATAATTTTACATAGACAGATTTAAGAGGTACCAAATGTTTTTAGATAAATAGGTCTAAGAACTAAGGAGTCCAAATATTTTACATGCGCAGAGTAAAAGGGCTAATTATTATTAGATACATTCTTGGAACAAGTTGTAAACCCAAATCAAAAGGCGATGTGGAATGGTTTTAAAATTCAAGGCTTGTGACACCCATCACGTGTTAATCTAAGTAACGACAATGCTGCACAAACCTGGAAATTCAACGTCTCTATACTAGGTACTATCGGCTTTCGGTCTCTTGTTCCAAATCAAATCATTTCTTGTTTCTTAACGCTATGAATGTACCCTTGTGTCTTAGTCCCAATAAGGTAAGAACCACCAATTTAGAGTCTCTCTAAATTATTTATTTTCATACTTTATCTATCAGTAGTAAAGGGTCTAAAAATACAGTTATAGAAAATGCACTGGAAAAAACTTATTTTTAGTCAATTGTAGAGATTTATAGTCCAATTAAATAACGAAAAAAAGCCCCTTCGAGCTTACAATAATTTGTAATTGGATAAAACAAAGTGGACCTTATGTATTTTGATGTGATCTTTCCGAAAAAAAGCGAAAACAAAAGCTGTCGTTAAATTTTTTTTAAATTAGTAAAAATAAATGCACCAATCGAAAGAGGAGGCAAAAATAGTTCGGAAATTCATTACACAGGTAGTTTTAATGGCGAATTTCTCGCCGCCAGAAGTGCTTTTATCAAAAAGTTGTTTTTTTCGTATCTTTGATCAGAACCATGGACATGAAATTTGCGATGAATTTGTGGCGAAATTATAAATTGAAAAATAAAATGAATTTAGCTCAAAGCCGAGAAATTATAAAATGTTAAACATATGTGCCCATGAGAGAAGTATTTTTTTGTTGGCTCTCAAATAAAATAAGTCCCGCGGCGAAATCTGCCATAATTTTTCGGGAATTCGCAGGAAACCGAAAGGCGTAATTTTTTTAATTTTTTTCCCATATGATTTTCTCCGAGTTTTCCGAAAACATCTAACAAACAAATATATTTGAAAAACCAACTTCGCTATCGGAAGGAGCATAAAAAATACACAAAAAAATTTTACTTTAAAAATGTTAGGAAATTAATCCTAAGCCTGAGTGTAAGTTCCAACTTGGTGATAAACTTGTTTTTTGTTCTCTAACATCTGGTTTTTTAGTTATTTACAAGAAAACTTGAAATGGGAGAAGATATGACAAAAATACATATTTTCTAGTTACACTCCGAATGAGACGGGTTGGGTGGCGAAATCTGCAATACTTTTTGAAAAAACTGCAGAACAATTTTTTCTTGATTTCTCGTACTTTTTTCTAAAATAACTCGAAA